AAACTTTGAGCATGAATGAAAACTATGTGGTGCAACTTAAAATAAGCATAGCACACTGTTTTCTGGATTGTGCACTGTCAGCAAGAATGCCGGTGTTCCTAAATAAATAGTGAGTTTGTTGATGCCAAGACAATGTTTGCTTTTAGATGCCATCATTCTTGATGTGTATTTTTGGCCACTTTTCCATGTAACAACAGAGAGACATTTGGACTCATCAATAACAGCTATTTACTTTTAAGACATTAAATGCTAAAGGCTGATTTATATAATTTTAATGAATGAATGAATGTCTAGTGTAAATATAAAAATTAAAATTGAAGTGAAATAGCAATTGTGTATATTTCATCTAGTAATTAAAACTACTGGTGTTCAATATACTGAATATTTCACAATTATGAATCAGGAGCATTTTAAAGAAAGTGCCATTGTCAACATCATGCTACTAACATTACTTCTTTATGTTGTTTGAATGCATATTTTTGGTGCAACATATTATTAAATGGACTGTTTTTGCCAAAAAAGCCTTCAAACCTATAAATATTACTCTAATAGAATTTTATTTTCTTCAATGTCTATATAATAAAAAACTAATTTGAAAAATATAATGCTTGTATATGCAATACTAATATTTAAGAATTATTTTGAAAACATTTACATTATATAGTTTATTGTAATTTTGAAGTTTCAAGTGTTTTGGATGAAATAGTTAATTTCTTGACATTAGCACTGCTTGAAAAACTGACAAGAATTTCAAGACTTACATTCCAAGGCTCAGTTGAGTGGCAAGCCAGAGAATTTTTAGCTAAAGACAGGCACTGGGAGATTAAAAAATATCAAATAAATTCTAATTTAGGAGAAAAAAATATATCTTCTAGTGAAAACTTTCTAAACTTGATCTACTGAGGTTTAACATAGGAATATTTTAGCCACACAACTTCCGTTGTTTAACAAGAGATTTTAAAACGTTGAATTTTGTTTACTTTAGCTTCCTTTTAGGTAGTAATACATTTAAAAAATATATAGAATAAAAATAGACTAAGAATTGTTAAACTCTCAGCAGTACATTTTTTTTTTGTTTAATTGACATCTGTAACTATTATTATGAGAAAAAAAGTTACTAGCATCAATTTGTATGCTTTTAGATGCTATTTTTTGTTATAAGAAGAATGGAGAAGCATGGATTGTAGCCATTAGTCATATACTTTTGGATTGGAAAAATGATTAAAAGATATGGGAAAATGTCATTTTACTTATGTAGTTTAGACACGTTTAAATGACCTCTTTATTTTTTTAAAAAAATGTTAACTTGAACTAGATAGAGAATAATGCCCGAGGAGCCATTGGGAAGCGCAGCAATGAACAAATTCTCAAATTTGGGTACCAATTCCTTAACTTGACACAGGTTTCTCCCTTGCTATTCGAAGGTAGAGTGTTCCTATGAAATTATTTGTAAGCAAAAGTTATGTAAAGCAAAGAAGCAATGACCATGAATTTATATGGAAGACATTTTTGAGTGATCCCAGCCCCAAAATTCAACACATGCACAATGTCTTTACCTCACTCACCAGAATTGAGATGCTTAATTACACCAGTTTTGTGCTAAGCATAACTCCTTACGAGCTCTCTGAGGCTTTTCTGATACCTTACGTTGCATCTTGGTAATGGATGCACAAAATAAATCTAGATAAAGCACAGATGCTCACAGACACTGTTCAAAGCTATGCGCTTGATGCTGAGCTAGTGAGTGCAGTTCCTGGGGGAGGACTTGTGGGGCCACTGTTTTTGCTGGGGTATTGCTACCTCTATAATGGCGCACTGAAAACCAACGCTGAACTCTGTTTTCAGTTTTCATCTTTTTCCCCTGTAAAAGCAGAAATATTCTTCAGATTTCTTTCAGTTATAAAAAAACAGGTACTGCCCTGGCCCGGTTGCTCAGATGGTTGGAACAATGTCCTACACACCAAAAAGTTGTGGGTTCAATTCCTGGTCAGAGCACATACCTAGGTTTTGTGTTTGATCACCTGTTGGGGAATGTATGGTAGGCAATCCATTGATGTTTCTCTCTTTCTCTCTTGTTCCTTTTCTCTCTCTAAAGTCAATAAAAAAAAAATCCTCAGATGAGGATTAAAAAAAAATAGGTGTTTGGTTTTTTTTTTTTTGTAAAAATGAAGTGGGGTAATGTGAACTTGTGTAAAGCAAGGGATACCTCATATAGTCATTCTAATTCTATCAGTAAAGGCCTCTTCTCATTCTATAAGGTTGTTATATAATAAATATGGAATCATAGATGTTCAAGGTACAAAAGTCCCTAAAAATAATTTAATCCAACTTGACTCACATGGCGTGGAGACATATTCAGACTCATGTTTGGGTTTAAAGCTAAAAATTGACATTGAGAGAATTAACCTGAAGAGTAAAGAGTGAGAAATTTGACGTAAATGGTTAGGATATCTGAGAGGAGGTAGATGTAAATTCCAGAGGCCCAGTGAACATGAGAAAAAGCAGGAAAGGGACCCTCCTGCCATGGGAGATTTGGAGAGAGAAGGACTTAAGAGATGGGACAAGCCATGACCTAGGATGTCTTCTGTCATGAAATCCTTCTTCTTTTTGTCCCTTATGGAATCTTCAGCAAACTCTATATTTCTCACTAATGCAAATGGGTGTTTGGGGGAGGGGGATGGCTAATGGAGGGAAGTGAGAGGGCATTTGATTACATTACAATTTTTATTTGCATTAGAAATACCTATGTAAGTGTGCACATTTTGAACAATTCATTTTTTAACTTTTCAAAATGAGAAATGTATCTTCACAAGTAAATAAGAAATTAAATCACTTACCATGTTTCATTTGGTTAATTTAATGCTTTACAGTCTTTCACTTTTCCACCTTCTATAGTTTTTGGAAAACAGCCCAGGCCCTTCATGATAGGTAAGATCTGCCTATGTCCATAATATAATAGGAAGAATATTAAGAAAGATTTTCCTGCTTTGAATTTTTTTCTCCAAATGAAATAAAATTTTCCATATTTTGGAATGACCTTGGGTTAAGTGGTTGTCACTAGAAAGTCTCTGTTAAAGTACTATGGCTATGATTAGACATTGTTGTTACCTTTTTATGCGTATTTCATTTTAGTTCTGAGAGAAGGCAACTCAGAAGTCGTAGTCTATCATAGAAGGAGACAGTATAAGGGCTGGACCAAGATGACTTGGTGAGAAGCTTCAGGAATCCCGAGGGTAGTAGAACAGCGTAGGTATAAGGTTATGATTCACATAACAAGAAGTGGGGGACTGGTCCAAAGAGATATTTTATCTGCTTCAAAACTGTGCCTTTTCTATGCCATCAAAATGAAGGGAAAACAAAGGACATAAAAGAGATAAAAACTCAGGTTTAATTCCCAGTTATATATTTTTTTCTTCTAAATTATCAGTACACTACCATTCTTTCCATATGAAGTAATTTTCTTAACTACTCTCTCTCTTTTTAAACTCTCCCATAAAATGGAAAACATTTGAAAATCACTGGAGCTTGTTTCCTGTTCACTTAGACACTAGGTTCCGTAAGCCACATTTATAACTCTGAGTATAAATGTATGTATTTACTCTCGTGCCAGAGTCCTTTGATAGCATAGAGTGTAAAAGCTTGAAGAACAGAGTGTCTAGAAATAACTAACATTTTATGTGATTTTATTCTTCTCATTATAGAATGTATGTGTAGAATTAATAGAAGAAAAATGTTGGAATACCTACTTTGGAAATCCAGAAAATGAGGTTAAAGAGTTTCTTTTTAATTAAGACAGATTTTAAGCATGCAGATAGTGCTAAGAACTAAAATTTTACATTTCATAACCATTTATTAATCTTTAATAGGGCTATGCACATGGAGTATACCTTACTAGTATGGTAGGAAAATATTCACTTTTTATTTTTATATGAGAGCTATAGGATCTTCATAGAATATACAAAAATCAATTATCAGCTTCTAAAATCATGATGAATTTGATTTTTTTGTTTTAATATATTTAAAATTGTACTACAATATGATATTGCAGTGCAAAGTAGAAGGAGAAACAAATATTATTATTTTTATTTATTAAATGAAAAATATGCACAAAATATATGTATGCACAAGAAAGCCCTAATTTTGTGAATTAGTAATACAATTATATCCAATTATAAGAATTGCATGTTTGATAAAGTCTTCCCTGGAAACTCATTTTTTAAAAAGGCTAGCGTTAGACACCAACTTCATATAAAAGGTGCCTATTCTTTTTCAGAAGCTAGAGAAAAGCTGATATAATTTATCCAAAAGGTAATCATTTTCTCTATTTAGAAAGTTAGAATAGTTTTTTTTTTAATTCTAATTTGAATTTGAGGGGCTTTAAAAATAGTTTTCTCCAATGGAAATAATTTCATACACAGACATTCTTTTATTTCTATTCATTTGTGGCCTGAAAGACAAATCTGGTTTCATCATTCATAACAAAAGCTTACTTGGAATTAGTTATCTATACAGTTCCGAGTTTAGCTCTTTTAGTATCTTATTTCCAAGTTAAGTCATTGGTTTGGCTAAATTGTTGCAAATATTAAAAACTAAAATTTTCAAATAGTAAATCACACACAAAGAACATGGTAATAAGTAATATAGGGTGGGGCAAAAGTAGGTCATATTAATAAATAATAATACAAAAATAAACTGTGTTTTGCGTACTCACTACTGTAAACCTACTTTTGCCCCACCCTTAGGTAAAATTTGATAAGATGTTTTACATAACTTTAATAAATTGACAAGGTCTTGTGGAGAACACATTTCCAGATGGCAAATATACGCAAGGGATTTAGTCAAACAATTTTTTGGCAAGAACATTATGAATTTTGTAATCACTTGAGAGCCAATGAAATACAAAGATGAGTCTAGTTAATAATCTACAATGATTGGTTCAAGAAGTATATTAGTGCTAATTCTCTCTATTCATGCTATCTTTTCTCTTTTTTCAGCCCACAAGCCTTTGGCACAATGAAGTGGGTAACCTTTACTTGCGTTCTCTTACTTTTCAGCTCTGCTTACTCCAGGGGCGTGTTTCGTCGAGATGCACGTAAGAATTCTATTTTTCTATTGTTCGAATTTATTTTATTTTCCTAGTAAAATCAAGTTGTAGTAAACTCAGCATCTTTAAAAAAGTAAGTTTTCCTTTAGCATTAATTTCTAGACTGTGATGATATTTTGTATTTGAACCCTTAAAAAGTTATCTTAATGTATTTCTAACATCCTAAGTGAAGGAAAAAGCTGAGAATTGTTTAGTAACTGTAATTTCCTTTTGCACATGAAGGAACTTTGAGTGATTTAAATTTCACAGAGTATAGTTGAAGGTAGAATTGATAACCCAAGCTCCCAAAGCCCTAACCACTGCACCTTGATGCAGTAAAACAAAAGCAAAATCTGTGTTGTTAGTCTTATAAATAGAACTTGTATTTATCTTTTCTTTCCTACTGTCCTCTCAGTAGCTGTTAATAGATACTAACAGTATTAGATCTTATCCATGTTTGAATATAAAACTATATTTAATTATTTCAATTATTTTTCAAATAGTATCATTGGTGATTGAATAACTCTTTTGTTTAAGAGCAGAAGGAAACAGTTTACCATCATCTGAAGACTTTCTGAAGGGATCAGAGCCCAATATTTTGGAGTAAATGAATACCTAAGTCAAATGGAGAGAAACCTAAAAGTAATATCACAACCAGTTGTTTTCTTCAGAATTTAAACAAATCTTTTTTCCTCCCCAGACAAGAGTGAGCTTGCCCATCGGTATAAGGATTTGGGAGAAGAACATTTCAAAGCCCTGTAAGTTAAAATATTGAAGAGTCAAATTTAATGTTTCTAACAGCATTGGTTGTTATTCTGAATTTCTTATATACCCCTGTCATTAGAGTCCAGACTCTAGAACAGTACTGTTCTAAAGAGTTTTCTGCACTGATGAAAATATTCTATATCAGTGCTGTTCAATATGGGAGCTAGTGGCCACCTGTGGTTGTTGAGTACTTTAAACATGGCAAGTGCAACTAAAGATAAAAATTTAAACTGCATTTAATTTTAATTTATTTAACTCTATTTAGTCTCCTGTGGCTGATCTCTACTATATGGGAAAGTGTAGTAACTCTGGAACTCTTATATAATCTTGATTTAGAGGAAAGACTAAATTTTGCTTTCTTCCCAACACAAACTCAAATGCCTTTACTTACCACATATATCCATGGTTTCTTGAGAGCATTTTAATAATTTTTAAGCTAGTAGACAATAAGAGAATAGTTTATATTTTAAAGGTTAATTTCTTTCTAAAGCCTGATTAAAGGAGATGTATGTGTGGGAGGGGGGAAGCTATGCAACACCCTTCATCTCAGTGATTAGATCTATTTAGAATGCATGTTGCTTGCTTGCCTTGTGTGTGCATCTACTCAAATGTACACATATATATTTAAATGTGGTGGAAATAGATATCCTCTTTGCTTAGAAATCTGCATATGCCTGGTTAGGTCTCAGATAATTGTTTATGTGAATAGTCTTTCTGGATAATAGTAAGATGTAAAAAATACCACAGAAAAATATAGTGATAGCAACCTAGTTTATATTAAAGTTTTTTAAAAATTGATTTTAGAGAGAGACGAAGGCAGAGGGAGACAGAGGTAGAAACATTGATCGGCTGCCTCCTGCACGCCCCCTATTGGGGATCTAGCCCCCAACCCCAGCATGTGCCCTAACTGGGAATCAAACCTGCAACATCTTGGTGCATGGGACGGCACTCAATATACGAAGCCACACCGGGGGGCTAAAGTTTTATTATACTACATTTTTCTGTGTTCTGTTTCAGGGTGCTGGTTGCCTTTTCTCAGTATCTCCAACAGTGCCCATTTGATGAGCATGTAAAATTAACAAAGGAAGTAACTGAGCTTGCAAAAACATGTGCTGCAGATGAGACAGCTGCAAATTGTGACAAGTCACTTGTAAGTACATTGTGATTTTGAATGTTCTTTCTTTCTTTCTTTTTTAAAGTAATCCTGAGCATTTCAAATGGAAAACACCTCATTTTGGTTTTCTCAGTTATTACTAAGACCATATTTGTAAACAACATTCACAAATGGGTAGAGCCATCATTTCTTCTATGGTAGAGACATTCTAGCTATGCCCACAGTTTTAAAAACATTTCTTATTGCTCTGGCCAGTTTGTCTCAGCCTTTAGAGCATTGGCCCCTGGACCCAAGGGTTGTGGGTTTGATTCCCGATCAAGGGCACCCACCTGGTTTGCAGGTTGAATCCCTGGCCCTGGTTCAGGTTGTGCAGGAGGCAACCAATTGATGTGTCACATCGATGTTTCTCTCCCTCCTTTCCTTTCACACTATCTAAAAATCAATAGAAAAATGTCCCCAGGTGAGAATTAACAACAATAGCACCAGGAAAACAAAAACCAAAAACCACATTTCTTTATTGAGACCACACACAATGGTCAGAGTGTATTTAAATGAAAAGTTGTCAATTGTGAAAGTCACTTTTTAAAATCTAAAGTTTGATTTGTTTTCACAGAGGCTAATAGTGATACATGTTTTTTAATCTTCAGAAAGCACTCAGCTGATTTTCACGCTAATTAGCTGGGTAAAATAATAGTACAGCTATGTATCCTCATTTTAGGAACATTCATATTTTTACATACAATAAAATATTAGGGCATTTACATGTTTTAAAGGACTTTGAGCTTTTGGTATCTCCAGATAGGTCTTCAATACAAGGCTAGGTTAATGTTTCTCTTACCACTCAATCTATGTATAAACTTTTTCTGGGTGGCAAGTCCTTTTTTTATTTATCACTGAAACTTTCCCTTCTCTCATTTCTCTTTATATGTCTCTCTCCCTTAAGCCAGAATCAGTACTTTAATGTCACACAATATTATGGCTTTAAATGTGAATTTTAAAAAATGCATTTGTTGAAAATTAATAAATTCTGTTCTGAGCAGTATATTTTCCCTGGAGTTATAATTATTTTCATAACAAAAATTAATGGGGATGGAAAGAATTCATTTAGTGGAATGTGCTTTGAAGCAAATGTTCCTAGAATAAAAAGATCTATATTTTAATGCAATAACAATTAATATATAGTAAATTGTATTATTTCTCAGTTCTTAAATGGTATCTACTAAAAAGTTGGACCTCTCACAAAGGAGTAGATCAAATGAGAAACTATCCTAACACTTTCCTCTCTTCTGTGAACCCACCTTGATTGTCATTATGATTGTTCCTAGTCTTTAGCCTCGGGTGAAATTGGAGTAACATTCATTCATTAAAGCCACTGACTATCATTTTGTCCTTCTGTTTTATCCATTGTAACAGTGTGACTGTCACTTCTTTAAAAATTACATAGTTGATCAAATCAAGGTTTACCAGTATATTACATATTCAATACTGTTCTTTGGGTACAAAGAAAATAAAATACTGCCCAGCATTTGAAGTTTTCTGTCTTCCATTTAGCACACCCTTTTTGGAGATAAACTGTGTACAGTTGCATCTCTTCGTGCCACCTACGGTGACATGGCTGACTGCTGTGAAAAACAAGAACCAGAGAGAAATGAATGCTTCCTGAAACACAAAGATGACAACCCAAACCTCCCTCCACTGGTCAGACCAGAGGCTGATGTAATGTGCACTGCCTTTCAGGAAAATGAACAGAAGTTTTTGGGAACGTAAGTAATCAGATTATATTTTTATCCTCACCCAAGGAAATGCTTTTAATGATTTTAGTGAGGGGGAGGATATGAGAGGGGGCGGGGGTGAGGGGGAGAGAGAGAGAGAGAGAGAGAGAGAGAGAGAGAGAGAGAGAGAGAGAGAGGAAAGATCAATCAGTTGTCTCTGGATGTGTCCTGACCGGGAATTGATCCTGCCCACTACTTTTGGTCCAACAAACTGAGCCACCCAGTCAGATCGGTAATGAGGTTTTTATGCTTCAAAATTAAAAATTATGAAATAGATCAAGACTCATTACAGCAATTATTATAGACAAAATTTTCAACATTAAGACAGAAGCTTTTGTGCCCTGGCCAGTTTGGCTTAGCAGTTAGAGCTTTGGCCCTCAGACCAAAGAGTCTCAGGTTTGATCTCTGGCCCCAGTTGGGGTTGTAGGTGAGACAACCAATTGATGTGTCTCTCTCACATCACTGTTTCTCTCTCTCTCTCTCACTCTCTCTCTCCCCCTCCCTACCTCCCACTATAGCTAAAAAAAAAAAAAAAATCAGTAGAAAAATATCCTCGAGTGAGGATAAAAAAAAACAACAGAAAAGAAAAAAAATTATGGTTAAAAAAACAAACTTAGAAGCTTTTGTTCTAATGACAAATTCAAAGAAATAAGATTTGATAATATAAAATTTTACACAATAAAACATTTAATCAAAATCTTTTTCAATTCATTGAAACAGGATATAATCTACATGATAAACATTGACACGTATTAAAATATTATGAAGATATATATTTTTAGTTATTGTCAGAATTAATTTCATTTTAGTCAATGACCTTTTATCACTAATATTTAACTATTTTATACATGTGTATATACTCTATCTATCTATCTATCTATCTATCAAGTTTAACCTTTTTATTGACTTAAAAAATGACAAAGGCAAGGTCATCATGTGCAAATTGAGTTTAAATGGTAAGTTAGATGTCTTTGGGTTTTGGCATTTCTAAGGAAAATGTTGCTAATAATTGTTCCTGTAATACTGTCTGCTACAGAAAAATGACTGTCTGTTCTTCTTTTTAAAAATTTAGATACTTATATGAAGTTGCCAGGAGACATCCTTTCTTTTATGCCCCAGAGCTCCTCTACTATGCTGAAGAATATAAAGGAGTTTTGACAGAATGCTGCAAAGCTTCTGATAAAGGTGCCTGCCTGACACCAAAGGTATGTATGCCCCGGCAGAAGAACAGAGGACCGGTTCCGACTCAAACCTCAGAGTTGGGACATCTATGGCTAGATGTAGGGAACCCAAATATCTGATATAAACTTATTTACCTGGTCAAAAAAGTCTTCCTTACTCTTATCCACCACTAAGATTTTTTACCCTCTTGGAAGGCCTGTGACTTCCTCATTCCACCTTCTAAGTTTTGTTTGCATGAATCTGATAGAGGGAATCACTGTGCCTGTGTCTAAATACCCCTCCTCTTTTTATATTGGAATACAGAAACTTATTTGTAAAATTACATAGCAAAGGGTCATAGTTCTTGTTTATCTTTTCATGAACCTTTTATATTGGGGAGGGAATTCAAAGTGGAGACTTTCACTGCATCTGGAAGCCTGGGTTTATTTATTCATTCCACAGATATTTATTATGGACTCATCATCTTTTCTGGGGAGTTTATTGATGTGAGAGTTGGTGAAGGAGGGATTGAAATGAATTCATGCAAAATTAAGAAGTCAGTAAAACTGTGTTCCCTGGGATATTAGTGTACTCGGTTCCCTACCTCTCCCTTCAGCTCCCTTTCCCCTGGCAATGCCCATGTTCTGGTTGTTCACTACCAGGGGCTTCCACTATGACCAGGCTGATTTTTCCTCTAACCGTGTAGCAAAATAATTCTTTGTCAACAGTGAGTACTTGGGAATTTAGGTGTATATTATATCCTTAAAATTTAATTTGTCATAGTCTCATCTGAGGTTATGAAAGAGTGTTTCATGTAAAATTTAAAAAATATTTTCAATATGATTTCTCTTTGCAGATGGATGCTTTGAAGGAAAAAGTACTGACTTCAGCTTATAAACAGAGAATGAAGTGCACCAGTCTCGAAAAATTTGGAGATAGAGCTTTCAAAGCATGGTATTTTAAATTAGTTTTGTACTTTATATGATGTAAATGATGATGGTTCAGTTGAAAAAAATTGTACATTTATGCAAGGGTTTGGGCTTTTAAAAAATCTTTACCAGAGTAATATATATATATATATATATATATATATATATATATATGCGCAAGAGAGAAAGGGAAAGCGAGAGAGTGAGCAAGAGAGAAACATCGATTAGTTGCCTTCCATACTGTGGCACAAACCTTCTACCTAGGTATGTGCCCTGACTGAGAATCAAACCCACCACCTTTTGGTACATGGGCTGATGCTCAAACACACTGAGCCACCCAGCTAGGGCACATTTATGTGAGTCTTTACACAGTGCTTTCACATACATTCTTTTGGTTGTCTAAAAGGTAGAAATTTAATAGAAGTGAAAAATCAAAGCATAAATGACAATTTGTCATTATACTTTATCACATTTTTTCAAGATAGTAAAACATTTAGAGAATTTTTTTTGTAACTCTGTGACAGGCATTTAAATCTATTTATAAAGACTAAGGATATTATTCTTTTTTTAAATAATTTTTTATTTTTCAATTACAGTTGACATAAATATTATATTAGTTTCAGGTGTACACCTCAGTGATTAGACATTATATAACTTATTAAGTGGTCGTCCCTATAAATTTCATACCCTCCTGGCCCCATACATAGTTATTAGAATATTATTGACTATATTCCCTATGCTGTACTTTACATCCCCATTATTCTGTTACTACCAATTTATACTTAATCCCTTAACCTTTTTAATAGGGGCCTGATTATAATGATCCACTATTTTTATACAGTTGTAGTCAAGGTCCAGTCTGTTATTTAATTTTATCTGCCCCCACTCCCTGCAATTATCTAAAACTGTATGCTTGTTTGTTTATGTTCTGATAATTAAATTCAGCCATCAAGATCACTTCTCACTTTCTCATAGCTCTATCTCAGTTCTTATTTATTTATTTATTAATTATTTATTTATTTTTGTTACAGATGTTTTTCATTTTCCCCCCATTGACACCCTCCTCCCCATCCCCCCGCCCCATCCTCAGCTTTGTTGTCTATGTTCATTGGTCATGCATACATGCATGTAAATTCTGTAGTTTATTCCCCACAACCGCCCCTACTCTGAGACTTGTCAGTCTGTACCCCACCTCTATGTCTCTGGGTTAATTTTGTTCAGCAGTTTGTTTAGTTCATTATATTCTGTAAATAAGTGTGATCATGTGATAGTTGTATTTTTCTGCTTGGCTTGTTTTGCTTAGCATAATATTCTCTAGGCCCTTCCATGCCATCTCAAAGGATAAGAGATCTTTCTTTCTTATAACTGCATAGTATTCCATTGTGTACATGTACCACAGCTTTTTAATTCACTCATCCACTGATGGACACTTGGGTTGTTTCCAGATCTTAGCTATTGTAAATAGTGCTGCTATGAACATAAGGGTACATATATTTTTTTCTGATGGGTGTTTCAAGTTTCTTAGGGTATATTCCTAAAAGTGGGATCACTGAGTCAAATGGCAGTTCAATTTTTAATTTTTTGAGGTAACACCATAGTCTTTTCCACAGTGGCTGCACCAGTCTGTATTCCCATCAGTAGTGTACTAGAGTCCCCTTTTCTCTACACCCTTGCCAACACTTGTTGTTTGATGATTTGTTGATGGCGGCCATTCTGACAGGTGTGAGGTGATACCTCATAGTTGTTTTAATTTGCATCTCTCTGATGATTAGTGATGTTGAGCATTTCTTCATATGTCTCTTGGCCATTTGTATGTCCTTTTTGGAGAGGTGTCTATTTATGTCCTAGAACCAGCTAAGTAATATAAAAATAGAGACCCAGGCTAAAACAAGAAATTAAGAAAAGAGATTAAGACAGCTCTATGTCTGTTCTTAATTTCTTCTTTTAATCTGGGCCTCTATTTTTATATTGCTTAGCTGGTTCTAGGAATATCCTTCAATATCTGAGCCAACAACCTACCCTTCCCCATCCCCAAATATCTCCCTTGACAGTCAACAATTAATCAGCACTAGCAGAAGATAAAATGAAAAAAATAGACATCTTGCCAGGTCTCCAGAAACCATCATTTGAACTATCTTTACTTGTCACCTCTATCATCTACACACCAAAATCAAGGAAATAATTAAACAAAATGACCCCAATGTTAAACAATACTCATTTAAACAAGCTGTGACTGGTTTGGGGGAAGAAGTATCTTTTATCAGATTAGTTGACTCTGAAATGATTTGTGAAAGCATGTGGATATTAGCCTTTTACATCTTGTCATGAGACTTAGAGACCTTGCTGGGTCAATTTCTTGTGAAAAGTTGTGAAATTTATTTTATCAGGAAGAAGGCATTTTAATTGGTAAAAAAGGATCACTGGAGTTTGCAGGGCCCTTTCCAGTTTATAAAATGCTTTCATGTGCATTATCTAATTTGCTTCTCACCACAGTCCTTGGATTTAGCACACTGTTGTGACTGCAGGGCTGATGCTCAGAGAGTCTAAGGAACTTTCCTAGGGTCACACTGTTAATTAGCAGTGAATTCAGATCTGGAAGTCACATCTAGGATCCAAACCTGATGCTTCTCAGGTGTCACCTCCTTTGGAATCCCTCTTTGACTTCTGATTTTGTGACTAGCTGACTTCTTTCTACCTGCCTTACACTCTGACAATGGATAATTCTGCCCTAAGGACACTTTTGCCCTAAGATAACAATTTAGGTTAGAACTAGCAGTAAAATAAGAACTAATGAAATATAAATCATTTCTATATTTCATTTTGTCATAAATTTTCCTGTTATAAGTAGCATTTTCCTAGTGCCTTCACTTAATATTGCATATTAAGAAAGTTTTGATGGGCGGATTTTCTTTTTAGGTCCGTAGCTCGCTTGAGTCAGAAATTTCCTCAAGCTGACTTTATGGAGGTGTCCAGATTGGTGAACGATCTTACCAAAGTCCACAGGGAATGCTGCCATGGCGACCTGCTTGAGTGTGCAGACGACAGGGTAAGGATTCCTCAGTATTCTCTTTGGTAACTTTGCTTTGGTGACGTGCTTCCGTTGCTGTGATGGATTTGTTTAGTATAAGTGGTGACAGCTGACAGTGTGTTGAAGTTGTCTTCTGTGTCTAATATGCTCAATTCTTTCTCTGCCTTGTGGCACTTCATTTCATCTTTTATACACCTGGCTATCCCAGTCACAGAATGATCTGATTAATACACGCACTGGTTTGTAGCCCCTCCCAGTCACATTCTAACTGAGAACAAAGGTTAAACTGAAGTAGGACAACTGCAAGGGTAGATTTCTAAGATTTTTTTGAGAGATGGGTAGAGTTGGAGAAGAGCTGGTACCTGAAGAGACCTTTGGAAATTATGTAATTTCTCTGTATATTTTCTCCCTTAATATGCAAATATCTCTTTCTCCAAACTTAAACATATGAGCAAATAGTAGGATCCTAAAGTCTCAGAAAACTTTCTGAAAAATTTAAGGCATATTATTTACATATGTAAGTAGTGACTGTGACTATGATCTTGACTAATTTTTCAAAATTCCCTCTCACTTTATTTAGTTATTTGGTTTCAAAATGCCTGCACTTAATGTTAGGGAATACTTGGAAAAACAGTACTGTTTTTCTTATATATATATTTTTTATTTTTCAATTCCCATTTACATTCAATATTACTTTGTATTAGTTTCAGATGTACAGCATAGTAGTTATAAAATCATGTACTTTACAGTACTGAGTACCCCCCTCCCATGTTTCAAGTACCCACCTGGTCCCACACATAGTCATTACGATACTATTGACTATATTCCCTATGTTGTAATTTACATCTCTGTGACTATTCTGTAAACACAAATTTGTATTTCTTAATCCTTTCATCTTTCGCAACTAGCCCCTTAATGTTGGGTTTTAATTTAAATGCTTAATGCCTTAACAGTAGAAATATAAAATTAATAATTAACTGATATCGGCCTCTGTTACTGACTAGTTTTTAATCAAGTGGAAATTTTTAGTAGTTCTATCTAAGTCTCAGGTTTAGGAGCACAGACTGGAAATGTTCATAAAAGGCAGGTTGGTATGTATATAGTCTTAGAATACAATGGACACGTTCTGCCAACATAATAAAAGTCTGAAGAAAAAATATAGTGATGTCAATTTACATTGAACAATTTTCATCAACTTGCTTATAGGCGGATCTTGCCAAGTATATGTGTGAAAATCAAGAAACAATCTCCAGTAAATTGAAGGATTGTTGTGATAAACCTTTGTTGGAAAAATCTCAATGCCTTTCTGAGGTGGAAAATGATAATTTGCCTGCTGACCTGGCCCCACTAAATACTGATTATGTTGATGATAAGGATGTTTGCAAAAACTACAAGGAGGCAAAAGATGTCTTCCTGGGCACGTAAGTAGATAAAGAACGATCGCTTCACAGCTTTTTTCTTATGGTCTGAGGATAGAGAAAGCAGTTCTAGGCTTTCCTTTGGAATTGATACAATCGTTGCCCGGAATGCTTATTTAAAGACTACTCTTTGAGCCTTTACAAATTTTTGGAAAAAATTAATTAGTTTTAAAAAATAGTCATAAAATAATACCTGCTCATGGCAAAAGTTCAATTCATAGAGAAGAGTACAAAGTAGTAAGTAGAAGTTTCTATCATCCTCAACCCCGCCCCATTTCTGACTCCTTAGAAATATTTTCGGAAATGCCTCTAGAAACATTTTGTGTATACATAAATTATATTCATATTATTTATTTATTCATTCAAAGAGTATTTCTTGAATTTACCATGACATGTATGTTTGAATATATGTAATACATCTTTATATCCCTGTATCTATTTCTGTATCTATCTGACGGCAGCAGAGAGGTATAAAGAGAAGTATGGAGTCTGCTACCAGGTGCTTTATATTTGTTTGTGAAGGCCAGAAGTTGCATTGCAAGGCAACATACAATTCAATGATAAATTATTATATATAGTCAGAAAGTGGTAATAAACTTTCAATTGTTATTGGATTATAAGAGTGTTCTGTGCACTAAATCATATTTTATAATATTATGTACCCTTCAAGATTTCATTCATACAGAGAGGGAGATAAAACTTTAAGAATATTTATCTATCTACCTACCTACTTACCTGTCTATCAGAATCTTTTTGAGATGGGATTCAATCAAACAAAATATATATAATAACAAGTATCATTTATCAAACATTTAATATGTGCCAGTGTGTGTCATGTATACATTATGTCATGTATTTCTTACAGTCCACCTTATGAGAAAGATCCCATTAACAACTCCTTTCTAAAGAGGAGAAAACTAAGATTCTGATAATTTTAATAAATTACATAAGGTGATATAATAAATTAAATGTAAGAGCAAGGATTGGAATGAAGGTAGCTTTAACTCTGAACCCCAAGCCCTTCACCACCAGGATTTACTTGCGTGGGTTTCGTCAAATTGAGACCTTTGGGATGAGTTACTCTTGTGGTTAGTTAGATGATATTTTTCTTGCTTCTGTGTTCAGTTAAGTTTATTTTATTTTCATCTTAATAAGGTTTTTGTATGAGTACTCAAGAAGACATCCAGACTACTCTGTCGCATTGCTGCTGAGACTGGCCAAGGCATATGAAGCTACACTGGAGAGGTGCTGCACCACCGATGACCCCCATGCATGCTATTCCAAAGCGGTAGGTTTCTGAGGAAAAATACAATGCAGCCCTTTGGTGATTCCAATGATAAGAAAGAAAAATAATGCCAGAATACATGGTGTTATATAGTACAATGGAGACATTCTCTTGAGATAATTTCAATTTTGTGCTCTTAAACATTCTAGAAAAAATGGCCTCAATAGAATTATTAATAAAACCTAGAATATTCTAGGGGAAAAAAAGGCTCTGAAGAGAGCAAGCTCTAATTTCACAAAATCTTGACCATGCCTATTCCCTTTTTTACACTCCTGAAAACAAAATAAGATAAAGTAAATGTATGTTAATTAAAAGAGATATAACTTAGATATAAAGAAAGTTAACCTGATTTCAAGATTTATCAAGTATGAAGAATTAGATCTTAAGGAAAATTGTAAAGTCTCTTTATTTAGAATATTTTCAAATCTTTTTGAGGTTCAGTAATGGTTTTGTAAGAAATTTAGTAAGGAGAAGAAATCTGTTCGAGAGGATTTTTCACATATTTAGCTATGATAAAGTGGAATTTTAACAGGTTTAGAATATTTTTCAGTTTTAACATATGTAGTGGTTTCTGAACTTTGGAATCAGAGGGAAGTCATTTTGTCTTCTGCCTTTAGCCTGCTCTATGCCAGCCACCATACTGGATCCCATGACCAGTGTAAAATCTCTTAGTTCAGAGAGCTCAGGATCCAAATGGAGAGATGAATTAAAAATAAAAATCTTACAATCATAGCTATAATTTATTGAGCTTTTACTGTGTACCAAGCACTGTTGTAATTTCATTAGCTCATGTGGTTTTTACAGAGCGTTCTCTGAGCTGAAGCACCATCTTCATCCCCATCGTAGAGATGAGGTTTCTAAAACCAGGAGATAGGAAGTAAAGTTCCACAAATAGAAAGTGAGTCAGGTGGCCTGACTCAAATCCCAGCAGTCACACTCCAGAGTCTGAATATTCTTAATCACTTATACTATACAGTTTGGATGTACTGTGACAGATTTGGCATTAAAGGCCCATTTACATGGCTTTGGGCAGAAAGGAAGAAGGATCTCATTCTGGTAGTAGGGGTAAAAAATAGTCTGCATCCGGTCTTCAGGTGTAGTCCTGTAAACACTATTCTTTTATCTTTTAGTTTGATGAATTTAAACCTCTTGTGGACGAGCCACAGGAATTAGTAAAAAAAAATTGTGAAGTTTTTGAACAACTTGGAGAGTATGGCTTCCAAAATGCGTATGTATTTTTGTTTCTGACTAATTTTTTTCTTGATCAATTTGTAATTTTTAAGACTCAATAGATATATGTCACCTGTCATAGAACTTTCAATCATAAAAATACAGTATATATTTCTAATCCCTCTCCATCAAGAAAGATGAGAATGAGAGATAAATAGTTGATGGGTTGAAGAGACCTATATTTGTGTGCAGTTTAAAAAATTCCTTCGACACTGGGAAGGAAAATACTAAATCTTGGGATATAGAAACTGAGGATGCCCTTTGAAGGTTAAGGAATATTTTATGAACAAGCAAAAGACAGGAATTCACCATGACCAGTGTGGCTCATTGGTTGGAGCATTGACCCTTGGACCAATGAGTCACGGGTTTGATTCCGGTCAAGGGCAAGTGCCTGGGTTGTGGTTCACCCCTGCCCTGGTCAGAGTCATGCGAGAGGCAACCAACCGATATGTCTCTCTCACATCAATGTTTCTCTCTCTCCCTCTCCCTTCCTCCCATTCTCTTTGATGATAAATGGAAAAATATTCCCAGGTGAGGATTAAAAAAAAAAAAAGGACAGCAATCCTTTCCAGAGCAGGAAATAGTTGGCCTTGAAAAGCTGTAGCTCAAGAAATAATATAATATATAAGTTGATAGACTAATTTTCTGATCAAATAGAGCCTTACTTATGGAAGTAAAGACAAGAAGGACACATTATTAGGTATATACTGTTCAATTTACACATGTCAGCTCTCTTCTAACTGTGGGTGCTAGGGATAACAATAATGAACAATTTTCTTCCCTTGAGTAGATTACAGTCATACATCAACTCTCAGTGGTCATTGGAATTCTTTTATTTATTTTTTTATCCTCACCCGAGGACTTTTTTTTTTTTGCATTTATTGAGCAAGAGGGAGAGGGGGAGGAAGAGAGAGAGAGAGAGAAACATCAATGTGAGGGAGACACATTGAGTGGTTGCCACCTCCACGACCCCAGTTGGGGCTGGGGACAAACTCCAACCGAGGTACGTGTCCTTAGCGGGAACTGAACCCAGGACTCTCTGGTCCATGGGCCAACGCTCTAACTGCTGAGCCAAACCAGCCAGGGCGGTGATTGTAATTCTTAATAAAGACTTGTTACATGCTAGATATCATGCCAGATTGGTGGCATATTTTATTTTTTTTTAATTTAATCCTTGTACTATCTATACTGAGTCAGGTATATTTCTTCCCATTTTATAGATAAGAAAATTCATCCATATCTTTCAAATTTAGCACAGTGCTAATATAAGGGGTAGACAAGAGTAGGTTTATAGCTGTGAGTATCTGAAACAAAGAGTTAATAAAGTAATAATCATAACCTGCATGTCTTTTTCCACATGAACAACTGTAAACCTACTTCAGCCCACCCCTGAATATTAAGAGGTTTTATTGAATAAAAGAAGAAATTAATAAATATGTTAATGTCACTGAAGTATAGTAAGTTAAGTCATTTTCCTGTGATTATGCAGCACAGGTGGAATTCAAAGTTAGGCTCAACTAGTTGCTTTGGAAATTCTTCACCGGGTCCACCCCACCAACCTCAAGATGGAGATAATTTTATGAATAGAAAATCATTGTAATTAATTATGTCTAAGTTTTCTTTGCTTCATACTATGTTCAAAAAAATAATTTCTTGCCTAGCTGAAAACGTATGGATTGTTTTGTTACAGTTTGTTAGTTCGTTACACCAAGAAAGCACCTCAAGTGTCAACTCCAACCCTTGTGGAGGTCTCAAGAAAACTAGGAAAAGTGGGAAGCAAGTGTTGTAAACTTCCAGAAGCAAAAAGAATGGGTTGTGCTGAAGACTATGTGAGTCTTTTAAAATATAATAAGTCAATAATGATAAATTTTTGCCTTTCGATATTTACAAAGCTAACTTTCAGAAGCAAGAGTGAACAAACGTGTTGTGTGTGTGTTTGTGTGTGTGTATGTGTGTGTGTGTGTGGTAGTGGCAGGTAGGACTTGGCCACCTACATTATCCTGACCATCAGAGTGAGAACATTTGGATAAGATCCTGATGATCATAAATTGTTTGGAAAAAGTTCCACGAATTTTTAATGTCTCATCCCGGCATTTAAATTTTTTTAAACCTTTTCGGGGATCTTTCCCTTAATGTATAAGTAAAATAATTTCAACAAATACCTTAGGATTTATCTCAAATGATTTTAATTAATTATTTTCTGAAATGGATTATTCTAAAAATATAGACATCTAAAAGAGAAAAAACTTTTAAACATCCCTTATTATTTTTAGTAAGCAAAGCACTGCCTCAAATCAATCTTGAATTCGGTACTACTGGTTGGAATACAATACTTGTTTTGGTCCATTGGAAAATAAAAGTTCATGGAAGACTTTTCATTATGCTTCTTTTAAAATTCTACTCTATTCCCTGTTCTTTAGCTGTCTGTGGTCCTGAATGCATTGTGCGTGGCTCATGAGAAGACACCAGTGAGCGAGAGAGTTACCAAATGCTGCACAGAGTCACTGGTGAACAGAAGGCCATGCTTTTCTGCTCTGGAAGGTGATGATACCTATGTTCCCAAAGAATTTAATGCTGAAACATTCACCTTCCATGCAGACGTATGCACACTTCCTGAGACCGAGCAACAAGTCAAGAAACAAACGTAAGGAGTATTCCATTACTGCATGTGTTTGTAATCTTGATAGTAAGAACTGTCAATGCAATGGGAAACTTTTTTTGAAGTAATGATTATATTTCTTTAAAAAGAGTATTTAAGTATTGTCCTCGTTAAGGTGATAATAGTGTCAAAAAGAAAATGGATAGGTTTCTGTTTTCTTAGCAAAACAAACAAGAACAACCACAAAACTATATTCTAATTTTGCCTAGAAATCATTCAAAATAATCTTGTGGATAAAGGCTGCAGTAGAATTGTATCTTAGGACAGTTCCAATAGAAAAAAACTGAACAATTAATGGATTCTTTGGTACAGATAGCAAATTAGTTGGTAGAAATGTCAGAAGAATTTATTTCTAGGCATAAATGATTGTTTAAGTGTGCTCTATGGCAACCCACTGGCAAGACAAACCTTCAAGATATAACTTTTGGGAATAGAATTTGGATTAAAAACATCTAGAAATGCGAGTTCTGAGGCTTAACTCGCTACTGCTGTCACAAGGGGTTAGAAATGCAACATAAAGTTGCTATTGTCTCTGGTGGGTTCTGATTGTGGCCATAAGACTTCTGAGTAATATTGCAAAATATTGTGTTTACACAACTTTCTCTAGCACTATTGTCTGTGCAGATGTAAATGAAAGAGAACCACCAGCTCCCATGAGTTTGGATCACCCTGTATTCCATGGCCTCTGTACTATCCATTTTGAATGGGCCAAATTTCAAACACTAAATATATAAATTCTCAGATTAGAAACTTTTAAAAGGAGTCCAAGATAATACAGCTTTTAAGGATCATTTTTAGGTCTTAAATTGGTATAAATTTTGATATGGCATAAATTTTTAAAAATTTGAACAATTTTAAAATGCAATTACATAATTCTTTCCAAAAATTTAACTGGAAAGAGATTTACTGATTTATTGATACTACAGATATTGAGCAATTTACATTGATGATTTTATTTGCTCCTTCTACTGACGCAATGAGGGTAGATTTTATTCTCCTCATTATGCAAATGAGAATACTGAAGTTTATGGTGCTAAGCCTGGGCCTCAAACTCAGAGTTGCTTGGCTCCAAGATTTATAATCTCAAAGAACAGGACTACTGACTTCACTATCTCCATTTTTCTTTAAGTGAGTAACCTTTTTCTTGTTTTGTTTTCATTTAAATGCAGTGCACTTGTAGAGCTGTTGAAACACAAACCGAAAGCAACTGAGGAACAACTGAAAACTGTTATGGGGGATTTCACAACTTTTCTACAGAAGTGCTGCTCAGCTGCTGACAAAGAGGCCTGCTTTACTGAGGAGGTGCTGGGGCCATCTTCATTTTAATATCCATGGTGTCCTTTGTTGTTGCTTGATCAGGCTAGGGCTCAGGGCTCTCTATATCTGAAGGACAATACATGTAGGACAGAAATCTTATTCTACATTCAGTTGTCTAAAAAAATGACTTAAAGTAGGTCTTTTTAATCTCCTGCTGCACTGAAGTATATTATTAAACATTTGTCATATGTGTTCTGTTTGCAAAATTAGATCATTTATGAGTACAGATAGAAATATTCGGATGCTCTGAAATTTTTTGGTGAGACATTATTAAACCTAAATATTAATTTATTTAAAGATTTTTTTAAAATGTTGGTATGTGGTTTAGTTGAATCTGAGTGCTTGATTTCACAGGACAGTGGGAAAGTTTATATTTAAATGTCTGAGTTATTTACTATTTTTTTCTAAGACTTGACAGTAATGTTTTATTCCTTTGAGGGCAATGGGTGTCAGTAATTTTCCTTCTTGAGATCGTAGTACTAAACTGTAATGAAAGGATGTGAAGCATGGAAAATTATTGTGTAATCATCAATGCCTGCATAAATGTTCATTTTTATTCTAATAATGATGCTAATAATTCTCCCAAATCTGTAATTTTTTTGTATTCAGGGTCCAAAACTTGTTGCTTCAAGTCAAGCTCTCTTAGCCTAAGACCAACACAATTACAAGCATCTCAGGTAACTATCCTCTGGATTTTCTTTAAACAATTAATTGTAATAGTATTAAAATAGCTAATAGGAGCCATATGGGATGGTGCCAATCACTGTTTTCAGGTTCTTGTATATATTAACATATTTAATTCTCAAAATAGCTGACTGAGTTGAGTTCCATTGTTATTCCCATATTTCATTCCCATGGGAAAATGAAAGCACAGATCAAAACATAGACTATGTAGTTTTCCCAAGAGTCATCCAGCTGGTGAGTATTGGAACCACAATTCAAAATTCAAACCAGAGCTTGATAGTTAGTCACTGACCTGTTCTGACCTAATGTGGCACAGTAGACAGAGCCATTGAAGTAATCAATTAATCACAGATGATTACTTCAGTTATTAGGATGGATGATATGCATTTATGAAGAAAAAAAAGTTGAATGACAATGATTTCAGAAGATTCAACCCAATAGCTCAATAACAAATTCATGTCATTGGAGAATATAATAGATCTGCTGTGTAAACTACTACTACTTAATAGTAAATAATTTGCTACTAAGTTTCCAGTGTGTCAACATGCTGAGTTTTAATGGAATTTCTCTTCTTAGGACAAAAAGGCCCACTTGAAAATTTAGATGCTTGAGTATAAACTCACAGGGTGTCCCCCAAAATTGTATACAGAGTATCTGTAGATTCTATTACATTTTGAAAATGAAATATATTTTAATAAACACTGGCTTTATACTTATTTAAAGTTATGTACATATTTTTTTGGACACCCTATATTATATCCATTTTGGTTATATTATTTTGGGAAAATTAAAAAATAGAAATTTTCTTTTTCATAAAAAAACAAGTTGTCCAATAATCATTTGTAGCATGAATTCCTTTGATAATTTCCAAACTGACCATGATTCCTAGTCTACTACTGGACTTTAATTACCCTTTGCCCACATGAGAATACCTACATGTTGTGCATTCATGCAGGAAGAACTTCATATCTCTGCAAATTTAGTTGTTTCAAAATGTGGTTTGTTATGTTCCTAAATGGCAAGATTTCTTCCCAGAGGTCTGACTTGGAGAAGACACTTTGTTTGTTTGTCATTAGCATACGTAAGAAATAGGTGTTAAGTGAGTGACTCTGAGGAGTGATAATGAAAGCTTGTGACTGTGAAGCCTGAGGAGTATGATGCCATCAGTGATGAAGAGAGCACTTTGCAATGCTTATCAGTGTGTCCTCTCCCCTAGCTCAGCCGAAGAACTCAGCGGCCATGAGTCTAGGGCAAGCTTGAATTATTATTGGTGAAAATTGGAAATTGCAGAAAGACAGTTCAAGCAATTTGACATTCATTTAAATAGATTTGAAAACCACATACTATTTTAGGAACGGTACTTATATTTGTCCTTTTGTTTTTCAGCTTACCCTGGGAGAAAGAAGAGAAATGAAGACCTGAAGCATATTCATACTTTTTTTCCTTTTGTTTGGTGTAAAACCAACAGTCTATCTAAAAACCATAAAATTTAAAAAATGTTTTGCCTTCTTTCTCTGTGCTGCAATTAATAAAAAATAAAAAAAAACCCTAATATAATGGTTAAAGACTGTTATTTTTCAAAGAGCAGTTGCCATCCTGAAAATTTTGTAGGTTCTGTGAAAGTCTCTCTGTTCTCTTTTTACCCACTCCATTGGAGGACTTGTAGTTCCTAATGGGCAAATTTATTAAAAGAAACATTAATATTCTCCTGAGCTGTGGGTTATGAACATTTAAAGATATATTTTAGCATTATGACAACTCTGTATAAGTTTAAAGATTGTGGTATAGGTAGAGTATATAAAACATGACATTTCATTACTACTGGAATTCTCTACGAAATGTGAGAGACAGAAGATAGAGATAATTGTAAAAATAGTTCATTTAATGGGGAAAAGAATTCTGATGCTACAAGAAATTTAACAGCCTAGGATGACAATATACATGAAGAGTGTACAAAATTTAACAAGTTTGAAGAAGCATTAGTGGAAGAGGGAATTAGGAGATCTAGACAAAGCACAGTGAGTCATGATGATGGTGTACTGAATTGAGAAGGTACAAGAGAGGGAGGGTAAGTATTTTTTGTAAAAATTAAGATGTTAACCCTGTCCAGTTTGGCTTAGAGGTTAGAGCATTGGCCCGTGGACCAATGAGTCACAAGTTTGATTCCGGTCAAGGGCACATGCCTCGGTTGTGGTTTGTCCCCGGCCCTGGTCGAGGTCATGTGGGAGGCAACCAGTTGATGTGTCCCTCTCATGTCAATGTTCCTCTCTCTCACCCTTCCTCCCACTCTTTCTGAAGATAAATGGAAAAATATCCTTGGGTGAGGAATAAAAAATAAAAAATTGAGATATTATATTCAGTATTGGGCCTCTTTTCCCTGGTCCCACTGATATCAGACCATTGTCTATGAAATTACATACTTAACAGTCATTTATAGTTTTGTTACTTGTATATTTTTTATTTTTATAGAATTGGTCTTTTACTATATATGCTATCCCACAATTTGCTAATTTTGTCCTTAATAGCAGTGCTTTATAGTTTCATTTTAAGTATGATGTTCACAAAAGATTTTGGTACTGATTTAAAAAAAAAAAAAAAAGGCTCCTTTTGTATCTGGAATGTTATGTTCCACACTTTCCCCCATCCCCACCCAAGCACCACTTTTGCCTAATATTGACTATACCAAATATTTTTCCACATTTGTTGCAATCATCACTGAGGTGGAAGAGAGGCTGAGGGTTGGAAGAAATGCAAATGGAGTGGCTTGTGGAGGTCCTGAGGACAGACCTAGACCATTTTGAGCAAGGCGTTTCCACATAACTGGATCCCCACTGGACTAGGTCTGAGCACCCTTGCCTGGAAAGTCTTGCAGTCCAGCCTCCAAAGGGGGATATAATAGTTTTAGAAAAGACAATCCAAAATGTGGGACTCCTGGGGCCCAGCGTCCCCTGCTTTCTGTAGGATCAACCAGAATCCCATAGTTGTGCTAACACTTAAGCCCAGGAGTAGTCCAAGAACCCAATGCCCTACTCTGGTTCTGAGACAGTGGCCAGGAAATGCGTTGTTCTGGCTTGTTGACTCTCACTGTATATTTTTTACTGCACAATGTGGGAGATTGAGCCACCAGATGGTGCAGACACACTGATGTGTGTTAACTGCTCTTTTCATTTTCTATTAGTAGGTACATGATACCCACATGATTTCTCACCAGGTATGTTAACATTGAGCACTTGGTTAAGATAATGTTTGCCAGATTTCTCCACTGTGCAGTTATTATTTTTCCCTCCCCATATCTATTTTTGGAAGCAAGTCACTAAATCTAGCTCCCACACAAAGAGAGTGACAGAGGAGACGAAACTCCTGGAAGGATGAGTATCAACATATATACTCAGAAGTCTTCTATAAAAAAGATTTGTCACTTCATTTATTTACTTACTCACTTATATATACCACCATGAATGCATATGTACTTATTTTATACTTTGGGTTATAATTCAATGCTATATTATTGATTTTTATGACTTAAATTATTCCAGCTTTGGTTTGGGGTGTTCTCAAGTTGGCCCCTTTTGTCCCTTTGATGAGACCCTAATCTTGGTGTTTTGAACACACCTTAACTTTCTGGCACTACAAAATTCTCCAGTCTCATCTTTCCCATCCTCAGACATGGAAACTGCTATTTCTTCAAGGAATTCTGGCTCTGTTTGCTACAGAGTAGTATTTGAAACAAAGTTCTGAGCACTGGGTGTGCTCATCACTAATGGGGTATCACTGCTTCTGGACTGTTTCAGGGAAGAGCTAAAAATGTAGGTTTGTGTATTAACCCATGTATATACACATACCTGTAATTTTTTCTGTATCTATTTGTCTATTCATCGTGCTAAATAAGAGCTCATACTGATGTCTCTGACTCTGGTTCAGAACCACAGAGTTTATTAAATAACCCCTTGCTTATTTGTAACTTCCCTCTTTGACAGTGAAAAACTTGGCTCCCACTATCTACAGTTTATTTACTTATTGTTCAACCCCAGGATACCTGTGAAGGAGTTTCAGAACTGCTGACTCATACTTCCATGAGAAACAAATTTACAACAAGAGTACAGTGTTCATGTACAGTTCTTTTTGTCTTTAGAGTTATAGTTTCCAGTCAAAACATCATTTTCAAAAGTAACTTGGGTCAGCTCCATTTTTACCCTTCTTCAGTGAGATTATGACTGGTGAATTCTGGATGATACACTCACATTGGACACAAGGGAGTTTGGGGTCTGGGCTGTTGACTGAACTTTAGGATGACCTGCATGTGTGGGCCACTCTTTCCCGTCCATGTTCTCACAGTGCAGCCTCTGTGGAAAGTACACCAACGTGGCAGGTATCCTTCACCCAGTGTGCTCCCTGACACTGGCAACCACGATGGGTACTCTGATTCCTTCACAAACTTCACATCACATGTCATGCAGTCTTCAGAAGTAGGCATGTCTATCTCTTTAAAGGGCTTTGGAATCCATTGCTCTGTAGTACCCCTGGGCCTTGCCAGTTGATGTCCTCTCTTGGCCTCTGTCAGTGTGGTTGTTTTGTGCTCCCCTGGGTTGGTCTTGAGTCCTGTCAGACGTGCCTCACAGCAATGGGTCACTGTTCTTGCTTCCTACCAGGTCCCTCGCCTATCCTCCCTGTTGGTTGCTGTGTTTGGAAGTCTGGGATACAATTAACATTGACAGAGATCACATTATAAAAATGAAATGATTATGGTCTATGAGTGCAGAGAAAAACAGTGTTGGAAGATACATTATGCTAAGAAAGGCATAATAGTAAATTTAAGATGACCAGAGACTTGCATTTGTGGTTCTCATCAATGAAACATAGTGATAATTTAAGAGTCATTGGGAGCTGGAATTCATGGTGACGTGATGGAAAATACTTCATCATAACTAATGATAAAACAAGTATTACATTAAATATATGATAATAGAGAACTACCAAGGCAGGAAGATTCATTTGTTTCAATATAAACAGTCTCCAAGGAACCAGTGCGTCATGAGTAATAACAGTATTGCTACCTCTCCCTTGAGATAGCATATATAAAATTAGCCAGGAATGAGATGCACTTGACAATGAAGAAGATAGTACCAACAAACAGATGGTTCCTGAACCTAAATGAAAAGATATGGTGCCTGGACATTAGGAAGAATATTCATGTGCACAGATTGGACAATAGACAGGTATGTAATTGTCACTTCTCTACTCACTACTCAAAATCTTAATTGACAAATTAGTACAATCCACATTGGCCCATGCTGGTGTTGCATAAATCCAGAAAGCATCATTATGTAGAAAGGGAATGTAGAAGCCAGGGTTGGATGAGAAAACGTAAGAAAGACAGAGGGGGAGAGACCAAGAAAGGAGATTGGTCAGGGCTCAACATGAGAAGAGTCAGTGGTACTTCTGCAAGATGAAAGGTCTTTTCATGTTGATTTCAAGTTGTGGGCTTTTGAAAAAGTGATTGAGAGGTAACCAACACAGAGTTTGGGACAAAGAAGAGAGAGTATGTATAGGAGAGAGCATAAAGCATAGGTTTATAAAAATAGACTTGAGCAGCCCCAGGAAATAAGAGCCATTGGTGTCAAGGATAAATGTAAACAGTCCTCCCTGACTCCTGAATTCCAAGAAAAATGGGGAGGGTGGTGGTGGTGGTGATTTTGATTGTTTTCTATAGTTGGGATCAGCATAGAGAAAAAGATACAGAATCTAAAAGGACAAGAGGAGCTATTGGGCTGGAGGACTCAGGGTACATTCCTCCTACTAGAACATGAATTGTACCTACTCTATGGAGGTTGTTTTAAGCTCTATGACTTGTGACAAGACTCATCAGCTTCCTCCCAGGCACCGTCCTCTTCTCAGATCTGTCCCTGAGCCTCTAGACCCTGAGTGTCAGAGAAAATATAAATCAGGAAAAAATAAACAAACAAAAAACAGATTTCAGTAATGCTCTGTGGTAAGAAGGGTATTTGTGTAACATGAATGAGTGGGGACAATGAGTGATTCTGACCACAGAAATCTGATTTAGAGCCATTTGTTTTCTGCTATAAAGGTTCTGCTTTGTGTCAGACATTGTGCTGGGCACCACAGGGCTCACAAAGATGAATCTTTGAATTCAAGAAGTCATCTATCCAGGAAGAATTGCATAAACTTGCAAATGACTGATAAAAAGCTAAATGAGAAGTAACACGAAAAACAACCAACCACTAAAGCCAACAAATAACAAAATAGATCCCAGAAAAAATAAGTAGTCCAGTATTGTTTGAAGAAAATGCATTTTCTGGCATCACCTGCATAGTTTACCTACTATGAAGAAGAGTACATCTAATATCTATCACAAATAGCAATGCTAATCATGAAAGCAATTACATTTTTAAACTTTTTTTCT